ATACCTGATTGAAATGAGAGTGCTCACCAAGACTTGCCTTACTATTCAATGGAATTGATATTTCCATTGTTTTTTCCTGGTCTCTCTAGATTGCCACAGACATGTCATAAACCATGCTTGTAGCTCTTATGACTGTCATTTTGCCATTGTCTGATCAACACTGCTGAGTTTTAGTATTACTCTGTTCTGTCAATGTTAATGCAGTGGCAAATGATAAAGATGCATTTTGGTGGGAACACTGGTAGCCTTTAATAACAAACAATTTGTGCACCTAAAATTGCTGGTATACATGAGCAGGTTTAGTCAACCCTTGAAGAGAACCTGTACCTTCTCATTAGAGGGCAATGGTAGCAAGAAAGCAATTCAAAAAAGCCATAGGGTTGGCAGTTGTGCATATTTTGTGCTATGAGTAAATAACTTCAATTGATTTAATCATAAGAGAATAACAGGAAAACTACATTGATTTCCAAATCCCTGGTGTGAACATCAGAATATATTGACCAAGCTCCATGCAATAAGTTTGTATGAATTGAAGAAATATCAATATTTGATCATTAGTCCAACAAAAAGACGACAATTTAAGCTCTTCTCAAAACTGAATAGTGTTATGTGGTACTATTTGATGAGTAGTGCATGATCATACTTTATAGCCTTCATTAGGTTAAAAAGAATAAAAGCCATAAATTTGGTTGAATGGCTGTTTTGTTAATTGTGACATGTCTTTCACAAAACAATTTGACACCTATAATAATAGACCAGGTCAAGTTTTTTTATTTAATTTAGAAAACTCAGTTGTATTTCCAGGACAGGGTGTTACTGCCCCCGGTATCTAGTCCAGCTTGAGGAGTGGTAAATACAGAACAATGTATTTTAAAGTTAATTAATTGTTTTGTCCTAAGACATGAAATACTTTCTATTCCAGGGGACGCTAAATCACAGAATCCTTATAAAAAAAACCCCACAATTCCTAGTGTATGCCAACTTTAAAAGAACAGTCGTAAATAATTTCAAGGAACAGCCATAAGTAACCTCATTATTTCATCTGTTCTATTCTTACTGCAAAACTGATATTAAGACCATCATTATATTTGCTGCTGTTAAGTATGGTTTAAAAATGAGGATCAACAAACTTTTCCCATAATATGATCATACCTTAATAAGGCACTAATGAGCCACATTCCCTCCCATTCACTATCATATAACAATCTTGTGGCACCTACACCAATTGCTTACTTGTGTGCAAAGTAATAGCTGGAAAGTATTTAATGTATTTTTAGAGGGAATCTAATGCAATTTAGCAGCTGGAAACCAGGGGAAAAGCCAGAATCATGTGACCAAATAGCTCTTTGCAGACCACAGTCTGAGAACTGATTATTCTAAAACCCAACTACACACAGAGAGATTTCGTCCTATGCTTCATGGGTATGCATCAAAATTATAGAGTTTGCTGTAGGTAGATTAAGCAGCAAGATATGCATATTATATTGCCTGGGGCAACTGCAGTACAAAGATCATCAGAACACTTTCATTGATTTCTATGACGTTTTCCAAGGGTGCACCAATATGAAGATTCAGGCAAACAAAGCAAGACCTGCATTTTGGAGGAGTATACTATGTTTTAGTTGTAGCAGTCCAATTGCAAATATCTGCTAGTTAAATAACAACTAGCTGTCAATCAAAAAGAAAGCTATGAAAAAGCACGTGGATACATTTAGCTTTTTATAGGTCAATATTTTGGCCATCTTCCATAAAACTGTAGACTGGTTCTGTGTGCCCAAAAGGACTTTGGACTTTTGCTTTTCAAAAAGAAACCTGCAGAGCAGGTCTTTTTTGAAACTTGAGGATGGACATAATTCTTGGAGATCTGAGGTCTTCCAGTTAGTCTTCCTTGAACCTTACCCATTGTGACTTGTGAAATTTGCCACTGTTGAGCAGACTATTTTAACTGATGCGATGATGATGACCATAGCAGGGGGAATGCTTTCAAAAAAAAATCTAAAGGTACGTGAGATCCTTTCAAATCTTAAAAAAAATACATCTGGATGAATGATCTGAACAATTACAGTCCAGTTTTGAATCTGCCATTTTGAGGGCAAGATAGTCTATCAATCACGGAATGGACAGTTCCTTTTACACTGGGTTTTCGGGACCCATATATGTCAATTTAAAGTAGAGATGGGGACTGAAAGTGTTTCGCTTGCCCTGGTCAACAATTTTCATCTAGAACTAGGCAGAATATAACTCTGCTCATTCTGCTGGGCTTCTCAGGCATACTAGGGAATAACTTAGGAGAGATCCCACACTCAATCTACCAGCATCCTCAGGTTGGGCAGCAGATGAGCCCAGCCTGAAAACCTGGAAAGCCAGTGCCAGACAATGTTTTCTTTGCTCCTAAGTACTGGGTAGACCTTCAGCTGCTGGGCCAACACCAGTGGGAAGCAATGGACAACCACTGCCCTATCCTTTAGCATTTGACCCTTCAAATTTTACAAACTTCCTGCTTGTCTTTGCTGTTTTGTAATGCCTATGTGCAGCTAGAAGAAGAAGAGTTTGGACTTGATATCCCGCTTTATCACAACCCTAAGGAGTCTCAAAGCGGCTAACAATCTCCTTTCCCTTCCTCCCCCACAACAAACTGTGAGGTGAGTGAGGCTAAGAGACTTCAGAGAAGTGAAGGTCATCCAGCAGCTGCATGTGGAGGAGCAGGGAAGCGAACCCGGTTCACCAGATTATGAGTCTACTGCTCTTAATCACTACACCACACTGAGGTAAACTGATAGTTTGGACTACAGTGTGATCAATAACTGACGGCACTCTTTCTCCTCTTCTTTATCCCATCAAGGAGCAGGGGTTCAGTATCAAAACTGGGCTTGAAATCTAATTATGGACAGATAAGGGCTAGGAAGGTGGTACAGTGGTACCTCTGGTTACGAACTTAATTCGTTCCAGAGGTCCGTTCTTAACCTGAATCTGTTCTTAACCTGAGGGACCACTTTAGCTAATGGGGCCTCCCGCTGCCACCACACCGCTGGCACGCAATTTCTATTCTCATCCTGAGAACAGTGTAAGTTTTTAACCCAAGGTACTACCGGTACTTCCAGGTTAGTGGAGTCTGTAACCTGAAGTGTTTGTAACCCAAGGTGTCTGTAACCTGAGGTACCACTGTTTTTAATTCAGATGTTAGAGAGGCTATGACTATGGCGAGCCAACCTTGAACTGAAGCAATGTCAGTTTTACCAGCCTCAGGTGGAATTACATTCCCCCTAAATGGCAAGGTCTGTAACTTGGGGGGGCAAGGTGTGTAACTTGCCAGACATGCTTTTCAGGGGTTAGCCATTAAATATTTGATTTCATCATAACTTCTCCCTCAGCAACTTGGGGACACTTGGCTGAAACTTTGCGGGAAAATGTCTCTGAAGATGGTACTGTAGTCCCACAACATCTGGGGAGCAAATTTAAATCCTTCTCTTCCATCACAGAAGCTGGGCTGCATATAATTTTGGTTTCTCAGCAATTGAGATTTGTGGGCCAGCTTAGCTAAGCAGTATCACAAGCTTCACTACCACAAGCAAAATATAATATACATAAATGTGCCAAAATGCAGGTAGTGATGGAAGCAGGGGAGGTGATGATGAGGCAGTGATGTGAGGTGAACCGCCATAGAGAGGCAGGAGGAAGTGTGTATGTTGCTGTTGTTGTTGTTATGTAAATTCATTAGATGCTTTTTCTAGCTACAGGCAACTCAAAATGCCTTTGCAAAAACAAAACAAATCAGCAAACAAACAAAAAGTCCCTATATTCAATTAAAACCAGGGGCAGATGGGGGATACATTTTAAACACTCCCTGTTTTAAAAGGCTATAGATCATTAACTGCCAAAGGCCTGGTTGAAGAAGAATGTTTTTGCCCGGTGCCTAAATACACACATCCCACACCACATTAGTAAAGCATCACAGTAGCTAATATTACTAAAGATTTAGAGGTGGTGCTATATTTCACCAATACAGTTGAACAACTACGTTTCCCAACTCCTGATTCATTACTGGAGCTGGGACTTGGATGATAAAAAGACTGCTTCTTTTTACTCTCACTGAAAACTTCCCCAGTAGTCATAGTGAGTATGTCAAAGATTAAAAGATAGCTGTACCTAAGCCATACAAGTGATATAGAGACATACCATTATCTGCTCATAGGGAAGAGTGCCACCTACTGAATGACAAGGACAATTTTTAGGCAATTCATTTCCAAATGTAGAAGCCTTCCCTGAAACTGTATTATCAACATTCCACACGGCACTAATGTGTGCAGAATATCCTGAGATTTTATAGAGAACCATGCCCTTCAAATCAGCAGGCTGGTGGAGACTGATGTTCAACTGGTATCCGAAATTTAATCTGTGTTCTGATCCACATGCAGCCAAGTCCACTTATTGTTATTGTTTATTATGTAATGTATATTTGATCTCCCAGAATGCTTTAAACTGCCTCTCTACAGAAACAGTTGTGGAAATGGAGATTGATTGAGCAGGTGGCAGACATGAATTTACTTTTTTTAAACAAATCTGTATACCTGGAAGTGCCAAACAGCTATCATATATTTAGCTAAATAACAGCCTATAAAGAATCTTTTTTTATTATTAAAAAAATCTGACACTAATTTCCAGATTTGTTACACAGTTTTAGGACCCTCGTAAACCTATACTAGGTTTAACAGAAATATGATCTGCTTTGCTGCAGCATATTTTATTTTCCAGCGTTAAAGTAGAAAAGACCAAATAAGCAGTATATGGTAAGATTCTGAACATTTTTGCCTTCATTCTAGATGAAATATTTGTTCAATAACAACATTTCACTAATACATTTCGTATCACTTTTACCCTCAGTTTGCCCATCACTCTGTACAGTGGTGCCCCGCAAGACGAATGCCTCGCAAGATGAAAAACTCGCTAGACGAAAGGGTTTTCCGGTTTTTGAGCTGCTTCGCAAGACGAATTTCCCTATGGGCTTGCTTCGCAAGACGAAAAACGAAAACGTCTTGCAAGTTTGTTTCCTTTTTCTTAACACCTGTGATGGGATTATGAGCTGCTTGTGCGTAAAATCGTATTCCCTCAGAGTTTGTTCAAGTCCACAAACCTCTGTCTGTGACTGAGCCCCTCTGACATGGCTCCTCTAGTCACTAGAAGATTCCGACAGTGGTTGCTTTCGTAATCGCTTCCAACATAAAAGCTCCTTAACGGAAACACGTCTTCTGGACTCTCTGCGTGACAGTTTCCGGCGAGGAGTGGGTGTCGCTACAGGAGGTCCGGAAACCTCACCACTGTTTTCGCTGGAAGTATCTCTGAGCCATCCCCCCCAGCTCCCTTTCCCTCAGTTCAGCTTCTCTCCCCCCCTGCTGGTTTCCTCTTCAGCTGCTGAGTCTCTTCCAACCTGTCTGAGCCCTTTCACCTCCCTCAGTTCAGCTTCTCTCCCCTTGCTGGTTCCCTCTTCAGCTGCTGAATCTCTTCCAACCTGTCTGAGTCCTTTCACCTCCCTTCCTTCCGATGGCAGTTCCCTGACATCCACCTCCCCCTCCAGGGCCCCCTTCACCCCCTCTCGCCCCCTCCTCTACGGGCGGTGAGGAGGCAAAACCCGGAATGAACTTCCTTCATCTTCCGATGTCTCGAACACTTCTCTCCACCTGTTGCGGTTCCTGGTCTCGAAGCACTCCTCCTCCTCCAAGTCCATCTCCCCTTCCCCTTCCGATTCTGGGAATCCTTCCAACTCCTCCTCCTCCTCAGTGGTCCCAAAGTATTCCCTCCGGAACCTCTCCACAGGCTGAGGTTTCCGCGGGAACCTTTGATGGAACATTTCTATCAATACCTCGTCATTGATATCTTTGGCCATTACCCACGTGTTTTCTGACTCCGGTTCTCCTTCCCACGCTACCAAATACTCCACCTGATTCCCCTTCCACCTGGCATCAAGGATTTCTGCCACATGACTGCTGCATTCTCTTTCTTCTATGACCGGTCCCCGAGTGGCCATCCCTTCTCGTCCCCCCTCGTACAGTGACAGTAACGACCTGTGAAATACTGGGTGCAGTTTCATGTGGTTGGGTAACCGGAGCCTGAAAGCCACTGGGTTGACCTGTTGAATGACCTCAAAGGGACCCAACCTCCTGGGTCTTAATTTCTTACAACCTCCTTTGAGCGGCAGCCCTCGGGTTGACAGCCACACCCTATCTCCAACCCTTATGGTTTCACCTTCCCTTCGGTTCTTGTCTGCCTGCCTCTTGTATTCTTCCTTCGCCCTTTCTAAGTTGAGTTGGAGCTGACGGTGGATTGCTTCCATTTCTTCTACAAAATGCTCGGCTGCCGGTACGCTCCATCTCTCCCCTTCTCCCCTGGGAAAGCCCTGGGATGACACCCATAATTAGCCAAGAAGGGCTCCTCCCTGTGGACACATTCTCGGCATTGTTGTAGGCAAATTCCGCCAGCGCCAACTTTTCTACCCAGTCATTCTCTCTGTCATTGACATAACACCTCAGGTATTGCTGGAGGACACCGTTTGCTCTTTCCGCCTGCCCGTTGGTTTCAGGGTGCCGGGCAGTCGAAAAGTTGACCTCCACCTGCAGTAAGCTCATGAGCTTCCTCCAGAACCTGGAAGTAAATTGTTTTCCTCGGTCTGAGACCACCCTCAATGGCACCCCGTGCAACCTAAAAATGTGTTCTACAAATAACTTCGCTGTCTCTTCCGCCGTGACTGCATGCGAGCAAGCTACAAAGTGGCACATCTTTGTTAGTAGGTCTACCACCACCATGATGGCTGTTTTCCCTTTGGACTTCGGCAGATCAGTCATAAAATCTATCGACACTGCCTCCCAAGGTCGTTCTGGTGTTGGTAAGGGTTCTAATAGCCCCGCCGGCGCCCGCCTTTCCCCTTTGGCTCGCTGGCACTGCTCGCACCCTCTTACATACTCACGTACATCCTCCCTCACCTTAGGCCACCAAAATTCCCTGGTGACCAACCACATGGTTTTGTGTTGCCCAAAATGCCCCGCCGTGGGGCTGTCATGCAACTGCTTGAGTACCCTTCCCCTTAAGTCTCCTTCAGGGATATACAGTGCCCCTTTGTAATACAAAGCTCCATTTCTTTCCTCGAAACCCCTTGATTCCTCTCCCTCATCCCTAAGACCTCTGAGCTTATTCTGGGCGTATTCATCATTCTCTGTTTCTTCTACCAGTTCTCTTTGTCCCACCAATGCCGCCCCACACACCCAGCGGTCCTCTGGAATGACATGTCTCTCTTCGGGTGCTCCCTCCCCCTCCAAATATTCAGGTTTGCGTGAGAGAGCGTCCGCCCTAATGTTCTCTGGGCCTGGCACGTAACAAATCTCAAAGTTAAATTTGGAGAATTCCTGGGCCCATCTCACTTGCCGTTGGTTGAGCACTCGTGCCGTCCTCCAATACTCTAGGTTCTTGTGGTCAGTGCACACTTGCACCTTATGTTGTGCGCCAATTAGCAGGTGCCTCCATCTCCGGAACGCCTCATGAATGGCTAGTAGTTCTCGGTCATACACCGTGTAGTTCCTCTCGGATTTGTTCAGCTTTCGCGAAAAAAAGCACACGGTCTCCACTCTGACTCCTCCTTCCCTGGCTGGAGAAGCACCGCCCCAACCGCTCTGTCTGATGCGTCAGTTTCCACTCTCATCGGTTTTTGTAAATCCACATGCAGGAGCTGTTGTTCCGAGGCGAAGGCCCTTTTAGTTCCTCAAATGCTTGCTCCGCCTCCTCCGTCCAAACGAACTTCTTCTTACTGCTGAGACAGTCCGTAATGGGCGCCGTCAGGTGGGCAAAGTTTGGGATGAACTTACGATAGAAGTTCCCAAACCCTAAAAACCTCTGCACATCCTTCCTTGTTTTGGGTGTTTTCCATTCCAGTACCGCCTGGACCTTGCCGGGATCCATGGCCAACCCCTTGTCAGACAGGCGATACCCCAGGAATTCCACCTCCTTGGTATGAAACTGACACTTCTCCAGTTTCACCCACAGCTGGTTGGCTTGCAGCCTGCTCAACACTTCTCTGACGTCTCTCACATGCTGCTCCTCATTCTCAGAATACACCAACACGTCGTCTAAGAAGGCCACACAATTCTTGTAAAGCAACGGCCCCAGGACGTGGTTCATAAACGATTGAAATGTTGCGGAGCCTGCTTGTAGACCGAAGGGCATAACTAAGTATTCAAATGCCCCTAAAGGGGTGAACATGGTGGTTTTCCATTCATCCCCCTTCCTTATTCGTATCAGGTTGTACGCCCCCCTTAGATCCAGCTTGGTGAAAATCTTTCCCTTCCGCACCCTTGTCAAAATGTCGTCAATCCTGGGCATCGGGAAGGCCACTGGTTCTGACACTGCATTTAAGGCCCTGAAGTCACACACCAGTCTCGGCTTGTTCGTGTTTTTGTCCACAAAAACACTGGGCTGCCCCACCGCCCTGGACTCTCTGATGAACCCTCTCTTCAGGTTCTTGTCAATGAACTCTCTTAGCTCCTGCATCTCTCTGTCTGACATGGCGTACAGCTTGCCCACAGGGAGCTGTGCCCCAGGGAGCAAATTGATTTGACAGTCAAAGGCTCTATGCGGTGGTAGTTGGTCAGCTTCCCTTTCGCTGAAGACGTCGCGGAGATCTGCGTATTGTCGTGGTACCTTCACGTTCTCCGTCACTTCAGTCCCTGCTAGGGTGGCTTGGGCCCCTGCCAAAACCTTTCCCTCTTTGCAATGTTCTAAACAATGTGCTGACCCAAAAGAAACCACTCTCTGATGCCAGCCCACCAGCGGATCATGTAACGCTAGCCAGCTCATCCCCAATATAATGGGAGCTCCTCCCAAGGTGGCCACATTAAAAGCTATCAGTTCGGTGTGCCTTGCCACCTTCATTATCATTGGGACGGTCTGCAAGCTGACTTCTCCTCCCAACAGCTCCCTGCCATCGATCGTGGTTACCTGCAGGGGGTTGCTTAAAGAGAGCGTCTGTATCTGGTGTTCAGCTGCAAACTCTTTGCTCATGAACTTGCAGGAGCTGCCTGAGTCCAACAGCGCCGATATCGGTAGAGGGTGTCCGTTTGGCAGCTCTAGTGTCACTTCTATCACTAGGGCGGGTTTAGGAGGTTCTGGGGTGGGCACTTTCACTGCTCTTTGGCCTGGCTGCTGTGCCCCGACAATGGCAGCCAGGCGTTGGCTTTTAGTTGCTCCGGTATTTTTCCTCTCTTCCCTCCACAGCTCCCACCATCCCTTGCCATTCCTTCCTCTGGGGGCAGACTCTGGCAAAGTGCCCTGGCTGTTGGCAGAGATAGCATTTCCGGGCGCCTTTTCCATCCTTCTTCCCCCCTCACTGGGCTTTGAAACTGCGCGCGCGCGTCTGTTCCGATTTCCATCGGCTCTGCCGGCGGGACAGTTGGCTCTGGAATGTCTGGAATGCGGAACTCCTTCCAACGTTCCCCTTTCCCTTCCCGCCTCTCCAATGCTCTCGCCTCCTGGCGCGCTCCTATGGCCAGCGCTGATTTGGTCAGCTGGTCCATAGACTCCGCCCTGGGCGCCCGGGAAAGTTCATCTTTCACAGCCGAAGAAAGCCCTTCTTCAAAGAGCATTTGAATGGGTTCCGCCGATAAGTCCCACCCCAATCTGTGTATCAGCATGGTGAACTCAGTCCAGTACTCACGTACAGATCGGCTCCCCTGTTTGCAAGCCATTAACTGTCTGCGCACCACTCCCTTTTCAATATCGCTGGAAAACATCAGATCCATGGCGCGAAAGAACTTCATCGTGTCCTTTAGGACGTCACTATGCGCTGCCATCAGGGGTCTAACCCAGTCTCTCGCCCCCTTTTCAAGATGCCCAATCACAAAAGCCACTCGTGATTCCTCATCAGGGAAATCATCAAACTGCAGATTGAGGGCATATTGCATTTCTGTCCGAAAGCTATGATAGTCTTTGGGCTCCCCCCCAAATTTCTGCACCAATCCTGGTACCTTTCTGGCGAGCTGGGTGGCTTTCTCCCTTTGGTCTGCATCTTGAGCCCTCCTCTCCTCCAGCCTCGCCGTCTGCAGCGCCAGCTGGACCTCCAACACCCGGTACCTTTCTTCCAGGCTTGGACCCGCTCCAGCCCCTGCTTCTCCGGTTCCTGCTGGGTTGCTCATTATGCCTTCTCCTGCACAAGCTGCGTTCAAAGACTGTCGGAATGCTGTGATGGGATTATGAGCTGCTTGTGCGTAAAATCGTATTCCCTCAGAGTTTGTTCAAGTCCACAAACCTCTGTCTGTGACTGAGCCCCTCTGACATGGCTCCTCTAGTCACTAGAAGATTCCGACAGTGGTTGCTTTCGTAATCGCTTCCAACATAAAAGCTCCTTAACGGAAACACGTCTTCTGGACTCTCTGCGTGACAGTTTCCGGCGAGGAGTGGGTGTCGCTACAGGAGGTCCGGAAGCCTCACCACTGTTTTCGCTGGAAGTATCTCTGAGCCATCCCCCAGCTCCCTTTCCCTCAGTTCAGCTTCTCTCCCCTGCTGGTTTCCTCTTCAGCTGCTGAGTCTCTCCCAACCTGTCTGAGCCCTTTCACCTCCCTCAGTTCAGCTTCTCTCCCCCTGCTGGTTCCCTCTTCAGCTGCTGAATCTCTTCCAACCTGTCTGAGTCCTTTCACCTCCCTTCCTTCCGATGGCAGTTCCCTGACAACACCGTTAATACAGTTGCGACTTGACTTCGAGGAGCAACTCATAGAACGCGGTGTGGTAGCCTTTTTTGAGGTTTTTGAAGACTTTGGTGATTTTTGAAGCTTTTCCAAAACTTCTTTTAAACTTTTAAAACTTTTTTGGGGGGTTTTGGATTTTGGGTTGGGGTGTTTGGAATTCAAGGACTTGGTCTTGGGGAGGGGTTTGTAAGAATCTGGAAGCTTGTTTTTCCCCCCTGCATTTTTATGATTTTCTGTGACCATTGGGCCACTCTGCTGTTTTTTAAAAAAATTTCTGGATTTGAATTTCTGTGTGGTGGGTGGCTGGGGGAACAGTTGAGGAGGGGGTTCTTCAGCAAGAAGCAAAGAGTGGAAGAGGAACCTTCTTCGAGTTGTCCCCCAGAGTCTTAGAAAATGTACTGTACACTTTGTTGATTTTCAAATGTTTTTCTGTCATGTTTAGAAACTTAATTTATTGTTCCTTCAATTTTTGAAATGCTCTTTACAGTATGTGTGACTTTAAAGAGCACTTAATAAACTCTTGTTGTACCAAATTTGGCTTTGTTTGGACTTTTTTTGACCATAGAAACGCATTAACTGAATTTCAATGCATTCCTATGGGATTTCGTGCTTCGCAAGACAAAAAATTCGCTAGACGAGAAAACTCGCGGAACGAATTAATTTCGTCTTGCGAGGCACTACTGTAATCATTTGGATTATAGCTGCAGAATGCACTGACATTATTTCAGATGCACTATAAGTTTGTCCCCTTAAGGACAAAAGAAATGAACTTTTCTGGGCCAGACCAAAGTCCAACATAGTCCACCAATCTGTGCTCATAGTGGTCAGTGAGATGCCTCCTGGAAGCCCACAAAGCAGGACATGAGGACTACACACTCTACCACTTTTGGTCCACAGCAACTGTTTTTCAGTTATTCATGGATGGAGAGAGCTAGCAGTGGCTACTAGCCATGATGGTTGTGCTCTGTGCTCAGCTGGAGGTAGGAGTGCATCTGAATACCAGTTTCTGGAAACCACGGGAGGGGAGAGTGCCGCTGTGCTCGAATCCTGCTTACTGTGAGAACTACTTTTGGCAGTCTTTCCAAAAGTAAAATGTTTGGGCAGTTTAAATACCTGAAAAACATAGTAATCCAAAGAAACAAGCTCTCAGTTGCATTGCTATTCTTTTTCTAAAAAGTGGAAATAATATTTTTCTCATATACTGTATTTTTCCATCTATAAGACGCCCCCATGTATAAGATGCCTGCCATTTTGGGGAACTCAGATTTAAGCAAATGGGGGGACACTATCCGTGTATAAGATGCCCCCCTAATTTTGGACATTATTTATTAGGGGGGGAAACCTAGTCTTACACACAGAAAAATACGGTATTTATTTTATTACCTAGCTACATTTTAGGGCACAATTGCCTTTTCAAAGTGGTTTACCAGATTTTTTAAATATAAAACAGCATAAAGTCTAAGAAGAAGAACCATCCAATAAAACCGCAATACACCCTGTTTCTTATGTGCATATGCTTAACCTATTTCATTTTTACTATCATGAGATGGAGAGAGAGAAAAGGGCAGCCACTGAGAATGTCTGTCAATACTCTTTTGTTGCAGATGAAACAGACAACACCACACATTCTTCAGGTCACAGGATAGGATACAACTGGACTTGATATGACTCCCACAGTTTAACTGTAAGTAGCTACCAATACTAAGCCGTGACAACTATACAAAAAAAAGAAAATGTAGCATGGCTGCTGGAGTACTACTCTAGCTTCAGACTTATCAAATTATAAATGGTTATGTCAGCCATCAGATCTAAAATCTGGTGGGGGGGGAATCACATTATTCAGGTCCTATCTACCTCCAGATTGGATTAATATAATGTCACTCTACATGAAGCTGCCCTTTAAGTTAATCTGGAAACTTTGGTTAGTCCAGAACCCAGACACTAAAGTTGGTAATAGATCCTATGCCAACTGCATGGGTTACTAGTAGTTTAGGGAACATGGGTGGCACTGTGGTCTAAACCACTGAGTCTCTTGGGCTTGCCAACTGGAAGGTCGGAGGTTCGAATCTCCATGATAGAGTGAGCTTCCGTTGCTCTGTCCCAGCTCCTGCCAACCTAGCAGTTCAAAAGCACGCCAGTGCAAGTAGATAAATAGGAACCGCTGTGGCGGGAAGGCAGCCCTGTTTAGGGAAGCTTTTAATATTTGATGAATTATTGTATTTTTATATTTTGCTGGAAGCCGCCCAGAGTGGCTGGGGAAACCCAGCCAGATGGGCAGGGTATAAATAATCAGTTGTTGTTGTTGTTGTTGATGATGCTGTAAATGGCGTTTCCATGCAATCTGGCTTCCATCACAGTGTTCTGTTACACCAGAAGCGGTTTAGTCATGCTGGCCACATGACCCGGAAAGCTGTCTGTGAACAAACACCGGCTCCCTTGGCCTGAAAACGAGCCGAGTGCGGCAACCCCATAGTCACCTTTGACTGGACTTAACCGTCCAGGGGTCCTTTACCTTTTTTTTACTAGTAGTTTGTTTCTGAGCTCAACTCTAGGTTCTGGCTGAGCAGTTGGAGCCAAAGTTCCTTTGGAACCACCTCATCCAGTACAATCCTACTGACAATCATTCCACTACTACTATTACTACTACTACTACTACTACTAATAATAATAATAATAATAATTACAAAGGTCCTGCCCAGCAGTGGTTTCCCAAATTGGCCTCTGATTATGTTTTTTTAACTACTGGTCTTACTATTCTTATGGTGGGTTGTTTTATGAATTGAAGTTGCTTTATTTTGAACTGCATTGAGTATATTTTGGTGCAGAAAGGTGGAATAGAAATTTCCGAAATAAATTCCTTATTACCAGGAAGAGCATTTATAAAGCACTGCTTGATGCTACATTAATCAGAGGTTTCAAGTACAGAAATGGATTCAGGAGCATTCAGGGTGATGAACCTCTGGCCAGAATTGGCTAGACTTAACCAACCCTGGTTGTCCCTATACTTGTCAATGAAAAAGATTCATGAATACATCAGGCATAAAATGCATAAATAATTTTTTTGGTATGCCACCTTTCCACAGTTCAAACCATGCTCAAGATGGCTTACAAGTTGAAAAAATACATAACTACCAAAAGTAGTCACAATCAATAAATAAAACACTACCAAATGAACAATTTCCACACATATCACAGCAAGATCTAAAACAAAGATACAAAAACCAACAGCAACAAAAAAAAACCCAGACCACACTGCATGGATAGGGAAGAGAACTGGACCCTGCCATGACCCAAAAGTGGTCTACTCTTCAGTAACTGCATGTTAAGTGGGATATGTAAAACGACTGCCTTTCACATGTCCTGCTCAACACAGAGACATTGTGGAGCCTGCGGATGGGATGGTGACATCAGGAATGGGGCTGTTGAGCTGGTTATTTAAGCTATAGACCTGGTTATTTTACATGTGATGCCCGTATGATCAGGGTATCAGCTTTCTTGGCAAATGCGAACAAGCATTCTCTCAAATATTGTAATCATATGCACATTATGTAGAAGAAACATTTAATATTATGTAGAGCTAACACCTGCATCAGAGAGTTCATAGAATTTCACAAAGCTCATGACCTCAACATGAGCTTCCGCATTAATACAGAAACCCATTTTGATATTAAAAAGCCACATTTTACAACATGTCTAACTTTGACCTTTTATGCAGATGCCTGCACTTGCTGATAGGGGCTGACAGCTATTGTTAGAGCGATCAACCTTCAGTTCTATGCTTGATCTTATTTACTTCCTGAGAATTGTATTTTGTCTAAGAAAATTAGACCTGTCACTCTTCTGATTTGATGTTTCTCTACAAGTCGTAACCACAGAAAGTGTGTCTGTCTGTGCTACACCTTCCACTCTCTTTCTTAAACAATAGATGGGAGAGATTTCTCGTTAACAAATACAGATGAAATCCTTAAAGCAAACTATTACTGGAAGAATAAGTAGAATATAGTAAGCTTTACAGCTCTGGAATATTTTATTAATTATTCTAGTTCACAAATATTATTGTTGGTTTTTGGCTGTACCTTAAAAGGGGTGGGGAAAGTAAGGCTTAAAACAGGTGATGGAGAAATATGTGCAAAATTAACTTTGCAGATTCCATAAGCGAGCATCCAGTCTTCCAAGCACAACGTGTTATTGTAGATGGTAGCCAACTGAACAGTGTTTTTTCTTATTCAAGCCATTTTAACTGCACTTAAGTGAAAAACCAGAGGGAAAGGGGGTGGGTTGAGGAAGCTTACAAAGCTAAAAGGCTACATTTTCACTTCACCAGTTGCAATCATGAGTAACTGTAAATGTAAGATAATTCACACGGAATTATCCTTTGAAAAAAGTGCTGGTTTGAGTAAACATGATTTGAACATGCTTTCTTTCACATTCCTTCTTCCCTTCTATCCACTCCTCTGTTATAGACAATATAATTTAGGTGCTACCGTACAACGCTCGCGCAGAAGAGTTATTTATTTTAAAATAACTCCGACCGAGAAGAGATGCTTTAAAGTGTGAGGTGATTGTCTGCATCGTGTGTTATTTACTTGCTCCAGCTTCTCTCCCCTCTCCTGGCCATGTGCTGTCTTTCTAAGTTGTAAAAAATCATTCACAGCAGGAAACTTAATGGCTTTACCTGTCTTTATTCAGCATTTTCAAATTGTGCCATCCGCGCGCAGGTGTACCTAGCTTTTGTGCGAGGCTCTTTTTGTTATTGTTCGGCTCCTACCTGCTCAAAATCTGTCAAGAGCCTATTTGTATGCACACAGTTAATGTGGTAGAAATAAAAGCCACAACCTGTCAAATAAACTCCCTGCACCTGTATGGAGCAGTTAAATTGTTCCATCTACCATTCTTCTCTCAGATCAAAGGGGTCCTTACTGTGAGGGGCTCCAGAGAAATAAAGAAAATGATAGACCTTCTTATCCTTAAAGGGGAGGGGTGGAGGGAGAGAGAGAGAGAGAGAGAGAGAGAGAGAGAAGGGACTTGTTCAACTACCTGAAGGAGCTTTTGTTTGGCATGGACACAACGTGAACACATTCTTTCACATTAAGAGCTGCAGAGGAAGAAATTCATTCACTCCCTTTTATGGTGACGTAGCCATGGCATTCATGTGTTTTTAACCTTGAATAATGTTTGTCTCTAAAGCTCCAAACAAGTTTTATCCTGTCCACAGGTCAGTTTTGTTACAAAGGCCAATTAGCAGTGCTACCTTAGCCTGCAGCAAAAAGCCAAGTAATGGTGGGGGCAAGCCCCATGGAGAGGTGATGAATAGCCCATAGAGCTA